ATTAAAATGTAGGCGTGCGGCTACAGCCTGTAGCGTAGACCGCAGGTTAAACCTCCTGGCTGGCACGCTGTGGTGGACTGCAAGGAGGACACCGCCATGTGCGATACCGTCGGTTAACACATCATTGCGAAACAGGGCGTATCCCTTCAGCGTGCAGTGGTGACTAGAAGCAAGCTTGGTCTCCTGCAGCGCTACGGCTGCAGGACAGTGCTCGCTGACGACAGCCTGGAGGTCGAGGGCATTTGCCCTTATTCCTCTACAGTTCCACTGTAAAAAGGCCTGTAAAGGGGGCGTGTTAAAAAGCCGGTTGGAGGTCACATACTAAAACCGGGCACGTCCTAAAAGAACTGGGCTGCGCCAGTTGCAGAAGCAGACTTTTCTGACTGAGAGCCACGGTTGGAATCTGCAGGGAGGTGCCCCACTCTGGGACGAGTTCTGGGGCTCCCGCCGTCAGATGGAGACGGGGGACCGGCCGGGGCACGCTTGACGCCAGCGTACCCGGTCCGGGGTGGCGGCGGGGGAGGGCCCATCGGCGGGCCTCTACCGGGCGTCTGGGGGTCAGCGGGGGCCTCCACTGGCCTTCTCGGCGATGGTGTGCCACTGCGAGGGGTGGGCTCCTTGCTTGCACGGACAAGCGATTGGCCGTCTTAGCCCTCTCCAACTCCGCTAGGCGGGCCCGCTTGGCGTCGCGGGCGCGCCTGTCCGCCTCATGCCGTTCCATCGTTTCCGCTGCTCGTCCACACACACTCGCCAGCGTCGCCGGAGGCGACGAGGGCAGCGGAGTGACAGACGGCGAGGAAGGCCGAGCCCGCGGACCATGGCCGCGCTTGACCACCGTCCATCCCTCCTCCTCCCCCGCCTGCGACCCCGACACATGAAGGTCCGGCGGCACAGCGTTGGTAGAGCAGGACGCAACTGAAGGACCAGGAGGATCCGACTGGGCGGGGGTCGCCCGCCCCGCCGGCACCACAGACAAACCGAAGGATCGCAGGAGCGTGATGAGTTGGACCGCTGACATGTGACTGATGCTGGTGGACTGTGGTACAGAGGTTTTGGATTTTTTCGGCATAAGATACCTTGGGGTGATTAGCCTCATACTGTTCACGCGCCTCGCGGAAAGAAATGTTCTTTGAAGTTTTGAGTGATATAATTTCCTTTTCCTTCATGAAGGCTGGACAACTTCGATCGAAAGTTGTGTGCGGGTACCTGCCCCGTGCCACAGTTCACGCACCAGGGCTGCACAGAGGTACACTGGTCTCCCGAATGCTCGGAAGATGCACACTTCCCACAGACAGCTCGATTGCGGCAGTGTGGTTTTGTATGACCAAAGCGCTGGCATTGAAAACATCGCATCGGATTCGGAACGAAGATCCTGACTTTCACAACTGCGTAGCCAATGCGGATATCAGACGGTAAATCAGGCCGGTTGAATGTCAGTATAATGTTGTTTGTAGGGATTTGGTCATCACCCCTCCTGGTCGTGATCCTACGTGCTGCCGTGACCCCGAAAATTCCCAACTCTTCGACGATTTCCTCCTCGCTGACGTCACGAAGGTCATAGCAGTTTATGATACCTTTTGAGAAATTTTTGGTGTGGTGCGGTGTGACCGTGACCGGCACGCTCACGTCTCGCTTTGCACCCCTCGGTTCTCGCGGCGTATACAAATTCAGTTACAGTCAAAGCTCGAGTCGCATCGGTGCCGTTTGCGAACTCCACTTCGATCGCGCCGTCCCTCAGCTTGTCACAGCGGGTGACTTTTCCCAACCTGTCGCATCCGTTTCGGCGCTGAAACGGTGAAAGCGATGCCAGGTTCTTCACATCACTCCGGAAGACAAGAACGCGTGGGGCAGGTGGAACCGACTCCTCGCTGCACCCTAAATTCATCGCAGTCCGTCCCCCTCTCGGGGGGCGGGAGTTTTTGGGTTTGTAGATGCCATGCAAGGTTGTTCTTTATTTCGGCACCGGGGCTCCCCACCCACCTCGGAGCCCAACTGGGGGACGGCCCACTCACCAGTTGGTGGTGGTGCCGCCAGGGCTACCTCGGTGCTATACGGGGCGGACGACGCCTCCCACACGGCCAGGTGTAACCGGGGAGACCCCTCCCCGTCCTGACCGTGGTTCAGCGCCGCCGCCCCTTGACCCCTTAAGCCGCTGCGCGCGGCCAGGCGCCCCAAGCGGAACCCGCAAGGAGCACCCAACCGCGACGCGAGCGACAAGCCGCTAGACCCGTGTGGGGGCCCCACGGGCCCCCCGCGCCCCCGGATATCCTGGCCAAAGTGGAGTGTTGGGACGCGCCGTGACTGACCCGCACGACGCGCCCCTCAGCCACCAGGATCCGATCAACCCGGGGACGAGGGCGAGGGGGCACGGCGACCCCGATAAAACGAGGATCAGGAGTGGTGAGTGGGCCGGATGCGGGAAAATGGGTAATGGGAAGGGAGCAAGCGGGACAAGGAGAAGGGGCTCACGTACCGGCAGGGTCGCTACGCCCTGAGAGGAACAGCTTGCGCTGTCCACCCGTTACCGGAGCTGGGACCCGAGGGGGCGCTAGTCCCCTACACCGACCGAAGCCGGTGCCCCTGCGGGGGAACAGAGCCCCCCCCCCCCCCCCCGACAGGTGCGTAATGCCCCATTCAAAAAGCAGGTGCTTAAGGCCCAATGTAGAAGGCCCCGAACGATCGAATGTGCCCGAGCAGGTTATCAGATAAACCCCCACAAGAGCGTAGCCCCCCCCCCCCCCCGTTCAGCAAAAAAGTACCCAAGACCCAGCGTGGAGGATCCCCAGCGACTGAGTGTGCCCATGCAGGTCATCAGATGGGCCCCTGACAAGAGTGTAGGGCCCTAAGCAAGTGACAGAGCATTGAAACGCCCTAGACCAATGCAGAGAGCCCATGAGCACATCGCCAGGGTGTTGGTAGCTTAGCCGAGACCCACGTAAAGGGCCTCTGAGCAACCGAGAATACCCCAACAGGTTCAGATATCCACCCGGCTATGCCTCAGAGCTTTTCTGGTGAATGGAAAGAATCCGCGGAAGGGCCCGTGATTAACAAGAGTGCCCCGGCACGCTAACAAAAAAGGCCCCAACAACAGCGCAGGATCCTCCGAGGAAATGCAAAGAAATGAAGGGCAACGTGAAATGCTTCTTAATAATCGAAATGATCATGCAAGTGGGCATATGGGTACCCCAGCAACAATGTGGGGTCCCTGGACAGTGTAATGAGACCTAAAGTTTCCAGTTCGCAACTTTTTCAATCATTGAATAATTTTTTTAAAAACTTCTCATAGGTCCTTTACTATCGCTTACAATTGCTCTTAGTCGCCTGGGAGTCCAGATACCCAGTTTTGCTGCGTTTTGTGTTAAAAAACTGCACCCGTTTGGCCTGCTATGGGCCTCCTTGGAGCCAATGGGCCCCTTGGGGGCCAAAGGGGCGGGGGCATGGCCCGTGGCCTCCCCTCTGCAGGGGCGGATCTGGCCTGGAGTTGTTTTTTGGGGGGGGGGGGGGGGCAACCGTTCGTCGCCAGCTGGCTGATGTGGGATCCGAGGTCTAGTGCATGGCGCCTCTCGCGAGTTAATAGTGGGGACACCATTCAAAACCGAAAAAGCACCGAAATGCTTTTGAATCTTAAGCAGAAGTTAAGACAAAACTGTTAAAAGTTAAAAGTAAACAGACGGTAAGCACACGAAATTTTTATGAAGTTCTGGGAATGTTTTGGGGGGCCAAAACATACTCTCAGAGGTTTGGGGGGCATGGCCCCGTGCCCCCCCCCCCCCCCCCCCGGGATCCGCCTATGTCCCTTTGGATCCGCCCCTTTTGCCAGCGCAGGACCCTCTGTTACACACTGTGGGCCCGAAAAGATGCAAGAATACCGACCAGTGTAAATCACCGGCCCAGGCTCCGTCGCTGCTTGGCAACTGTGCCCTCAGGCCTATACCAAGACGGAGCTGACCGTGCAGCACTGGTGGTTCTTAGCCGACATGTTTAGGCCCCTTATGGACTCAAGGGTCCCCAAACGGCGCAGAAGACCGTTTGACTGCTATCTGAGGGCCTGTCCCCGCAGGTTGAGGCCCTTGAAGAAGACTGCGTCCAGCCCTTCGTGCCCTTGGGTCCTACAATCGGTTTCTTCACCGTCGGCTCCAGCTGGCCCTTTAGGCCATTCAAATTCGAAACCTGAGGGGAAGGGGTGTGTGCCCCCTGTGCTCCTTCCCCTTTTGCCTGCGCCTTTCGTGTTACATTTGGTACAATTTATCTTTGGCACGGTATTCGACACAGAGAAATGATGAAAAATGCCATTTTCAAACGTTAATGGCCCGTCCTTTCATAAATACACACCACTAACCAGGCGCCGGAGCATCAGCGGTTCTTCCCGCACGCAGCGGATTGCGGGGTCAAGCCCTCCCTCCCTCCTCCAACTTCGGGCAACACTGAACATTGACTATGACAGTGCATGGAAAGGAGTGAGGAACAAATCCCTCCCCCCCTCCCCCTCATAACACCGCTATTGTTTTTGTTCTGGGACAAATATCGCATTATACATATAACACACTGCATGATATACGGCAGCCTTCAGCACGAAATAATGATTGGCGATACGAAACAGCCATAACCTTAAAAACGTTTTCAATACCAAGTACAATCTACTCTTGCCACTCAGATTTCAACCGCCTTCTTTGTCTGTCTTGCGTCACGCGGTCGCCCTTGGCAACCGATGAAATTGTTAGCAAATTTACATTAAAGTGCTGCAATCCACCATAGCGGTTCACTTATTCACTAGCGAAGCTAAATGGAAAAATATACGCTTCACAACAATAAAAAGGAAAAAATTTGAGATTAAAAGACTCAAAATAAGCAGAAAGCCCCAGAAAGCTTCATTTGCATTGAAAAAGAGGTTTTAAAAGACTATGAAGTTGACGCCCCGGTGACGTCAATCGACCAAAGCGTGCAAACACGTGTAGCCGCATTGGGATGACGACAGCCTGGTTGATGCGTCCTCAAGCTCGAGTACCTCGAAGTATTGTTGTCCCCAAGGCTGTCCCTTCAAAATCATTTTTGTGGCGGCAGATTTAACACAGACTCAGCGCTCCTCCAGCCTCCTCTAAACTAGTATTGTCTCTTTTTTGGGAGCGACGAGAACGGGCCCCATGTGACTTAAAATGGTTTGCTGTGGCAGTTAAACCGCCGCTATCCCCAGCTTTTCGGGTCGGAGCGTACCACCTGGTTCATGGCCTTGCTCAGCGTTGCAGTTGGAGGACCTCGCCAGCGCCCCTGACGGCCGCGTCATTCACCGCGAGTCGGCGACCGGAGATGGAGAGGGTCATGTGCTCTGCGACTCATCTGGTCCTGCTCACCCTCTGGGCTTCGGCCCATGGGACCAGAAAATTCGGACCCGGTGTCGAACTAGTGGCCAACGCCCAGAGCAAATTTGGCATGGATATGTTTCAGGTAAGTTGGCCGGTTGCGTTGATTGTCAAGACTTGTGCAAATTTGCATTGCGTTTTTGCGGCACTATCGCGCGGGCATGCATTGGCCGGTACGTCCATAGACCTCTCCATACATTAGAACCATCAGCATCTTCTATAGTGGGGATGTCTATGGGGTTGCCATTTGAGGAGGAAATGCCTTGTTTGCATGCGATTGCATATATACCGCCTTTATTTTTCGAGCCTTTCACGCTTACAAAGGGGCGTGTTCACACGGCACCCAGGGGTACGCGTCTCCTCCCCCTAGCTTACTTCTTGCATTACTTCGTGCGCAAAGAAATAGCCACTCTAAAAATGGAAGTAGGCGGGGGCGGCGCAACAGGGAAGAGGGGGAAAGGGCATTTCCCCCCCCCCTTGTCGGGAGATAAAAGGAGTAAGGGTATGTTTTTACCCCTCCGAAAAATGGGGGCGAACCCTTTTACCCCAACGAAAAGCATTGCAGTTACACGCAGAGTACCTAAATTCAGATCAGGGAGGCCCAGACAATTGAACTAAGGAGTATTACATCGGGTGCAGGCCTCAAAAGACCCTTTGCTACATCAAGACACCCGTTTCTTACTTCTGGGGACACCTTTATAAATGAAGTAGCCAATGCTCGATATCAGGAGGCCCATTTGCTGGCTTGGGAGGCCCCGTCATGAACAAGACGGTTCATGTTCTGGTTTGCCAGATTGTGCCTCTTGGCCACATTTGGGGACCATTCGTGAATCGTAAGCATTTTGTTCTGTATTACGAGGCCCCTTTATACATCGGGAGCTCCTTTTCTGGGACAGTAGGCCCTGTTTTGTTGTAGTGAAACCCTGTGCCGGGTTATAAGGAGGCCCCCATTCTGTAGTTGTTAACTGTTGGCATTGATTTACTTGGATATGGTACATATTAGTTTGAAAAGGAGACAAACGCCCGCGATGCCAATGCCAGTGACGATGCCGATGACGAATATCTCCCATCCAGTCCCGGTCAGCCTTATCCAGTCTCATCCAGTCCGATCTGCCTCCCCCTTCCCCCCCGTGACTACAGTTTTATCCACCTCTCCTACAACGTGTCAAATCCTAATGACTCCCTTTTCAAGTCGTTTTACTGCCAGAATTTTTCCTTATCCGAGTTGACCTTTATCTCCGTCGATGTTCTGTCTTTCGATGCATTCTGTTTCTCCTTGTATTCCCGTTTTACGATGCGACTTCCATCCCTAACGACTTTATTCTTTCGATTTTTTCGTTCGGCTTTTTCTCCAGTCAGCTCTCTGTTCGGAAACCACGTTCACGGACCGACGCCGCCGGCGCCGGGCCTTTGCCAATGCCCGGTTCTTACGCAACCACGTCTCGCCCATGGGCGGATTCAGCGGCGGAGGGCAGGGGGGGGGGGGCAGATGGGGCATGTCTGCGTGTAACTTATGTGCCCGACTCGTAGATTTCAAATGTAAGCTGTTTGCTAGGGAAGTTTGTGTAGGAAATTTCTTTAGGTAAGAGGAGGCAAAGTCTCGTGAATTTAAGAACATCACGGCACGTTTTCGGACTAAGCCCCACGTCCTACACCGGCGTTGCTCCCCACCCTCAAAGCGGTGTTCTAGTTCCTCCATCCGCTCTTTGTTTCATGGCATCATTCATGGCATCATGGCCCCTCATCAATTTGACCCCTCTGAATCGTACGCCCTTCGTTTCGCCCCTCATCAGTTTGGCCTTTGAATCGTAAGCCCTTGTTTTCATCTATCATGGATTTGCCCTCAGTATTGCGCGTTGACCCAGGGCGTTCACGCCTACACTGTTTGCTACGCTATTTCACATGGCTCTCGCGGCCGGTCTCACGCATTCGTTCCCCAGCAGCGAGCGTCGCCTATGGAGCTCGAGCCGCGCCGCAGAGGTTTATTTATTCCATGTTGCAGCACTGCACACGGCCGCCCCAGATTTAGCGCAAACGCGGCGTGCCTGCATGATCCGGGCGTGACCTAAATGTGCGCAGCGATCGGGGCCAACATTTCTGGAACAGCACGGACGCAGGCAGCCCGTGGATATAGGTGCATCCACACACGGGCAAAAATGGAGCTTCGTATTTCTTTGGATCTTGGTCCTCAAGCCTTGTATTGCTCCCGCGCTACGAAGGATAGGTTCAAACCGTCCACCAAGCACCAATTCATGGAAAACCACGAGAGGCTGTTTCTCCTAAAACTGACATTTGTGTTTGCTGGTAGTTTTCAGTATGCATGCTTACTCCGGTTCAGAACAGTAATGACGCGGACAGATGTTAGTCTTGCCACTTCGTAGACCGTACTCAAAACACAGTGAGCAGAAACCTCCAATGTACGTTGCATGACCGGGCAAGCCGAACCGTCCGATCGACCGTGTACATGGAGTATGTTTGGCTTGCACCATACGGACTGCGTGGAAACGAGAGGCGGGATCAAGACAGCGTCATGCTCGGTCCGAGTAAAATGCGCGATTGCTGTCGTTTATCCCAGCCGCGATGGTCCGTGCGCAGTCGGGTCTTCGGACTAGCAATGCAGAACTAGCGTGACATCACGGGGCGACCCCCACAGCGTTTCCACGAAACGTACCCCGTGGGAAGGTGAATTCGAAGACCGAAAACTTCTTTGAGGATCATCGAATCCTCCCAGGGACTGCTGCAAGACATACAGCGCCGGCGACTGTTTACATTAAGCACCATAAATATTTGCCCTGACCCATGCGGGCCACGGTCGGTATTGGCGCCCTATTAGCCGACGCGCAAATGGATCAGTCCGATCACGAACAATGGTTTCCCTCGTCCTCGTCGTTCCCTCGACAACCCAACTGTTGCTGCTAATCACTTCTCACTCACAGGCGCTGACGATCCACGACAACTCATCGAACATCTTTTTCTCACCGACGAGCATCAGCACCGCCCTGGCGCTGGTTTACGCGGGCAGCGGCGGCAAAACCGCCCAGCAGATGGCGGCCGTGCTCCACTTCGAGAGTGGCGAGAGACGCGACTTCATGCACGGCCACAGACGCTACCTGCGCAGGATCACGGTACGTTCATGTCACGTGTTAGGCACACGGCAAAGCTGGATTGTGGTGACGGCGCCGAGGAATGTCCCGCTCCCACATGCCCCAAACTGCGTTGACCCAATTCCATAACGTGGTTGGGGTGCTCGTGGGCGGTGGTCATTGCCATTCTCGCAAGCTCCCGGCATCCAACTGCTGTCATCCTTCATCGCCTAGTCATATACACTTGATGTTTGGTATCAGCGGAGGCACGCCGTGGCCATCAGCCTTGGGCCGGCCTCACGGCAGCAGTGTGGTCGGATGCGCGTCCGAGTGTCCGCCTGCGCCCATACGTCAGGGCCGCTCGAGGGGCAAGACGCGGTGCCGGGTTTGGAGCAGGACGGACGCCATGCTGCCCCACCTCTTTACCCCGATTCTCCCTGACCGCAGAGCTCTGAAATAATTAGCGTGGTCCAAAGAGCGCCAACTGAAGTGCTTCGGCTCTCCGTGTGGAAGAATGACAACATGCGGAGGCGCAGCTCCCCGCTGGACAGAGCCGGGTAAAGTTTTTTTTCGAGCGCGCCAGTGCCCGCCGTGCTCGCATGTCGCCGGCCCTGTTTGGCTTGCCGAGGTGACCCGGGCGGCCAGTACTCTCCCGTCCTCGCCAACAGGGCCGCTCGAAAGAAGGTGTCACTGTGAAGATCGCCAACAACCTCTACGTCTCTTTGAGCCGGCCTGTGATGCCCAAGTACGTCCGGTTCGCAAAAAACATGTTCGGCGCCGATGTCTCGTCGGTCGACTTCGGCGGGAGCCCTGCCGCTGCCGCTGACCTCATCAACACGAGGGTGCGCAACGACACTGAGGGCAACATCGACAACCTGGTGGAAGAGGGTGAGTCGGCTGGCGCCGCGGGTGCCGCGCACGCCGAGACGCTTGTTTTTCTGGTATTATTTCTCAAGCGGCAATTTACAAGTTATCTAATTTTGTTCAGAAATGGTCCTCACGAGACGTAGCATCCATGGACACCGACATAAAACGCATATGACGGAGAGGGTGGGACAGATTTCTCAACGAACACCTCCAGAAGTCCAACAGTGTTATCGATTGTGCTCAATTTGTCGTCATTCGCTGTTGCACTACGTGACTCGCGAGCGCCTGTCCGGCCTGTTGTCCGTCAGGACACAGAGCTCCCAGCTAATAGCTGCGCTGGAAAGTCTGCACTGAAGGCGGGAAAATTCAGCTGAACACACGCATTTTCGTTGTGCAGCTGTTACGTGTCGATTGGGTCGATTCGGCGTCTCGGAGGGATGTTTCGCAATCTCTTCGCTATGATCCCGAGAATCGAGCCCCAAGGGATTCATGTCGTTGACCACCTTGGGATGCATGACTCCGCCGTCCCACCCCCGTACCCATCCTTGCTTGTGAAGCCCACCGCGTGCCACTTCCCACCTGTCCATGTGGCGCGACGTTTCTCGTCCGTTCTCCAACGGCCGGCCGCGCATCCCGACGCACAGTCTTCGGAGACGCTGTCCCGGAGGTCCGCTGACGCCGTCGCATCCCCGGCTCGCAGTCTTCGGAGACGCTGTTCCGGGTGTCTCCCGGGGTCCGGGGGCGTCCCAGGCCCGCTGACACCGCCCCGCGTGTGATGCAGACGCACTGGACGAAGGGACGGTGTTTGTCGTGGTGAACGCCGTCTACTTCAAGGGCAGCTGGCTGCTTAAGTTCAACGAGAGCGACACGGCACCCGGCCAGTTCCACGCCGCCGACGGCCCGCGGTCGGTCGACATGATGACGGCGACCAAGCTTTTCCCCACCGCGTCCCTGCCAGGGCTCGACGCTCGGGCCCTGATGCTGCCGTACCAGGTGAGCGCGTTGCAACGGGACACGTACGCGTTTCGGAACGTGTAGACGGACGCTCCCAGAGATCGCTGCATCCAGGCATTGAGGGTCGTCATTCATAGGCGCTTTTCAAAATGCCAGATATCGCATTGCAGTGCACCGGACCTAATGCACATGACCTAAAAATAGACTGCCTGCCAACATATACATACTCTAGCTGACTCGGCGGCGGAACCAACTGAGGGGTACGAGATCGCCCACGCAACGCCGCCTCGTCCCAGCGTGACAGGCGTTTCAAACCCGGCAGGGCGAAGAACTCGGCATGCTGATTTTGCTTCCGAACGAGCTGAACGGCATCTACGAGCTGGAGGCACTGGTGGACCACGCTACGCTGGTTACGGCCAGGGCCCACCTGAGCGCTCGTGTCGAAGTCCATGTCCAGCTACCCAAGTTCAACATGGAAGCTGAGATTGACCTCAGTGTAATCCTAAAGGAGGTTCGTGCGAGCCGCCGGGAAACACCGGCTTGTGTTCATGATCATGGCCGTGTGCCGCTCCGTCGCGCTGGTGGGCTGGAACTTGACACGTCCGCCTTGGCGCCCCGTCGCGCTGGAGCTTTATGTGACCGCCTGCCTCTTTTTTAACGCGACGCGCGTTACCGTGCATCCTTTTATGGAGCGTCAGCCGCCACAGGGACCATATGGGCACTCAGGGGCCACGGCGCAACCGGGTTTCGAGGGTTTCGGCAGTGTAGTGGTTAAGCTGCGTCTGGGTGACCAGAGGTACGGGGTTCGATTCCCTGCACCGCTCGCCTTTCCTGCCAGGGTGAGATAGTCGATACCATGTAACCCCAATAGCTGGGTGCGTCGTACGCCCTGATGATATCGCCAAGGTTCCATCCCGAGCCATGCGTGGGAGCTGAAGGCGCGGCACCTACCCCAGGGTAAGGAGCCTGTAGCCTGGAGCCACCCGCCGCCAATCGCACAACGCCTCCGCACCAGTCGCCGGTCCGGTGCTAGTGGCAGTGGACGCTGACCAGCAGCCACTGCAGCCGCTAGCCGCGCGGCTGCGTCAGAAGCCGTCTGGTGGCTCACGAGCCGCGGGAATCTGACGCTGGCCGATCTGCCGCCCACATCGTGATGATGACGCCGCCTCTGACCGTCAGATGGGCGTGACCGACCTCTTCGACCCGTCACGTGCAGACCTCAGCGGCATCACCGGCGAGACCGGCATGGCCATCAGCAAGGCCGTGCACAAGGCGTTTGTTAACGTCAACGAGGAAGGCACTGAGGCGGCCGCCGCAACAGGTACGTGTCTCAGGGGGAATTGCACGCACGTGTGTGTGCGTGTGTTAGAGACGGGGTACATAGTGGGCGCGGGAGGGACGGAGCTGGCGTCAACCGGCCTCAAGTGGATTTGGGTTATTTGCGTTCTTTCAGAAACTCCACAAGTGTGTTTCCAAACGTGCACCGAAGGCCGAATGTCAGGGGCGAGATGCGAGCAGGATTTTCCAAAGGTAGCGCCCCAGACGAGACTGCAGAGGTGCGGGTGCGGTTGGGTGAGCGAGTGGTGGGGACCGCACAGAGCTAGGCCCAGTCAGTCGTCCCAGGGCGGTCGTGCACCACCCGATTAAGCTGTGCACGCGTCAGCGGCTGTGCACTCGTCACCACGCCAGCTCTGAACTCGACGGTTGTCGCCCCGGAGTCCGTGACCTTTGGCCGTCCTCGCCCCGGCAGCCTTCGCGTGCTGCTTCCGCAGCGCCCCGCCCATCGTCCCGCCCTTCATCGTCGACCGGCCCTTCATCTTCGCCATCATGGACCTGCAGCTGGACTCGGTGCTGTTCATGGGCCGCGTCATGAGCTTGGGCTCGGCCCGCCCCAGCGAGGCGCCGCCGCAGTAGGCCGACCGCACCCGGCGCGAGTGCAGCGCCGCTTCGGCGCCACCGGTGAACTGTCAGGACATTACAGAGTTGACGCCGGCCTTCTCGGCCCCTTGCTGCGCGAGACGACGGCGCACACCAGTGTGCACCCGCAGGACACCCCGCTATCGCGTGACCTGGGTCCAGACCATCTGTGCACCACAGGCTTGCCCACTGCTGGGTCGAGCGATGCTCGCTCGCACGTCAGCAACGTCGACAGCTTGCCGGAAAAATCAAATCTGAGTGTGGAAGCTGCCTGCTGCAAAAACAACGGCGCCCAAACCTCTTAGATCACATTTTCTGGGTGTTCACCAGTGATTTAGGGCATGCAGACCGCGGTTGTGATTTGTCTCGCGCTGGCGAAAACTGTTCATCAAATCCACAGATTTGATGAATCTTCAATTCAAAGATATACCCGAGCAAACGATTTCAAACTGCACTGCACTGTACAGCACGCGCACTGTGTGAAGTGCGCGGTCGTGCGTGTAACCAAGCCTGCTCATGACTGCGAGCCGGGAGAAAAACAGCGTGTCGGATCGAGCGTTTATTTTACGGACACCGAGGTCGTCTCGAGAATATACCACAGGGTTCGCTTGGAAAGACGTAACTGAGAGCTCCCAAGATGGCGCAGATGGAGACCAAGCACGTAACGATGTACCGATGCTGGTGATGCGCTTCTGCCTCAACAGCGAGGTGATTACTTCTCCGTCTCCCTCCTCACCCTGGCGGTTGCGTCGTCATACTGAGGCATACGATCCGTGAAACACCATCTACCGAGTCACAAAAACGCGCCGAGCTCCTAGAACGCGCCTCCCCCCCCCCCCCAAAAAAACCCAGCAATCTTGAAGCTACCATTAACTACGCTTAGCAAATTCACTATCATGAAACAGATGGACTAAAGGATACCAGCAACTTTCACAGTGCACGAAAAGCACACCACCTGCGGCCGAAAACAAGGAGGGCTCTTTCAGCACCTTTCATAGGAATCAAACTTTCAACTTGAATATCTTACCTTGGCCAAGGTGGCAACTGCTCTTCAAACAAGGCGAATCACACTTTACGTACATTCCGCCCCAAGCATTCATTCTGCCTCACAAAATGCAATGTAGTTTCACGTCCATATAGTCGTCTACCAAGAAGCGCTGTCGTTTGACACGCAGTTCTGGTGGTGAAATGTTTTCCAAAATGTCAATGCTCAGAATGGCTCCGACAGAACAGGCCAGGGAAGGCATCTATCACTGTAGATGGGAAAATAAACGTGCGTTGATACTATTGGCGTAACATTCAGTTGGCAGCATAATTGAGAACCTCTCGGACCAATGTCCACCACATATGTTCTCAAGACGCACTGATATGCTATAGTTATAATGCAACGTTGTTGTTGCATGCACAGAACTGTGAGCAGACCTATAACTGTTGTGTAGTGGTAATTGCCAGGCACACCCAAAGCTGGTTACTCGCATACTGCTGTGACGGTTAAAAGGCATTTACCAGGTAAACTGGATTGTTTTCTTTAATACAACCAGATAGAAGAAAGGAAGATGTGTGTATGGCCTTGCAAACTCGACCCATTAATGGTGGGATCAGGTCTTACAAAAACGGCTGGTATCTTCAACCCGCAAACTAGTCATCGAAAACGCAATGATCCTAACTTTTTGGATACTCCAGAGCCATCAATGACACAAATGCCCGCCAGAAACAGGATAAACATACATAGCCACCCATCCGACATTCATGCCTCCCGCTCATCTCTCCAAGGTGCCGGCGTCCTGCTCTTGGATTGGCCCGGCAGACATCACGCGCCTCTGCGTTCATGTCTTGCCGACGTCATCGCCAAGCACTGGCTGGTGCCCAGCAGCTTCGCATACGACCCGGCGTCTTCCAATGCAGCATGGACCTGAAGCCAGGTCAAACTGGCAAACATTAGTCACATTACTGTCACAGCAGTGATTCAACTAATGACCCAGTCATACCTCATACAAATGCCTCATGTCGCATCAGCCGAGCCGAAGACAAGCACTGCCAGCGGCGGCGTCAGCCTCGTCATCGTCTAATCACAGGAGATCGCTGACCGCTAGGACAGCACATGCCAAATCAGCTCAGGTAGTGGCTGGAGGACACAGTGGGATAGAAGCTGCCACTACCAAACCATCTAAAGATTGAGCAAAAAGGAAAATAGCTTATGCCAATGCAACAAATGCCAAAGAGGTTAATATTCTGAAGTTTGCTGTTGCTGTCAGGGTTGTCCATTAATTGTTTAGAGAACACCAATAGGTCAATAGGTACATCACAGCACCAGCCACACAAGCATCTCACCTGTAATTGTGCCAGCAAACCGGCCTTCTGGCCCAGCAGTGAGCGCTCGTCACTCTTCCTCTAGTTTCCCCTACTCATATGTCTTTGCGTCTCAGCGAAGTTTGTATCCTGCAGCTGCCTTGACCTGAGGCAGGGTCATAACGTACACATGAGTCAAGTTGCTGCAATCACGAAGCTGTCCCATTGATGATGGATCAGGTCTCCTCATACAAATGCCTCATGTCGCATCAGCCGAGCCGAAGGCAAAGACTGCCAGCGGCGGCGTCAGCCTCGTCATCGTCTAATCACAGGAGATCACTGAACATTGGGAGAGCACGTGCCAAGTCAACTCAGACAGCGGCTGGAGGACACTGGACAGCTTCCTGATGCTCGAATACGAATGGCGATTCACTAGTGAAAATGCATGGGCCCGCATGAATAGCCACTTCAAAAATATGTGGTGACTGATATGAGAAAAGCCTACAACAATATGGCACATGCCTTAAAGGTAGCCATTTTCCATTCCTTGCTTAGAGCATATCAATGGGGCAATAGGTTCATCATAGCGCCAGCCACACAAACATCCTACCTGTAACCAAGGGAGGAACCGGCCTTCTGACCAAGCAGTGAGCGCTCGTCACTCTTGTTCTAGTTTCCCCTGCTCATATGTCTTTGCGTCTCAGTGAAGTTTGTATCCTGCAGCTGCCTTCACCTGAGGCAGGGTCATAACGTACACAGAGTCAAGTTGCTGCAATCACGAAGCTGTCCCATTGATGATGGATCAGGTCTCCTCATACAAATGCCTCATGTCGCATCAGCCGAGCCGAAGGCAAAGACTGCCAGCGGCGGCGTCAGCCTCGTCATCGTCTAATCACAGGAGTTCACTGAACACTGGGATAGCACTTACCAAACCAACTCAGACAGCGGCTGGAGGACACTGGATAGCTTGTTGATGCTCGAATACGAATGGCGATTCACTAGTGGAAAATGCATGGGCCCGCATGAATAGCCACTTCAAAAATATGTGGTGACTGATAAGAGAAAAGCTTGCAACAATAC